TTTACACATAACTCCAGAGGAGCTACATCCTCTGCTTCAGCTGCCAAAGGGAGACTCCAGTATAATGTCTAACAGGCTACTGATACCAGAAGCCAAAAGGGTGTTAGGCATTCGTACCAAGGCAATAGAGAGAGGGATAGGCAGAAGGAGAAATCCTGAACTGCAAATTTGCCTAACCTTCATTCCCAGCAGGTATCAACTATTAGCAGCCTTGTTACTGTGGGATCAGACTGAAATAGACCCACTGCAACTTCTAAAGTGGCTAATTTTGCCCCATGTACGATCTAACACTGTGTGGACTGTTAATGAGATGTATGCAAAGCTTGTCATTAAAGGCAGAGGAAGACTGCAGGAACTGGAAGGAGAGGACCCTGCCACTGCCATCATCTACATGCCAGCTACGAAGGACAATTTGGATAGGATGCCAGCTGAGGAAGCAAGGTTCCAAGCTGCCTTAACAGTTTTCATGGTAAAACTTTCATGCATCTCTCAAAACACAGGTTGTGGGCAGTGACCACTAATCTACCTTTAAAAGCCACGACCAGATGCGAACACGGACCAGTGAAAGGCTTCAGGACCTTCACACCTGCATCTGGGAACAGCATAAAAGGCTGTAATAACTCAGGTAAAATCCTGCTACAAAACAAGGGAAGGACAGACGCAGACCACGAACCAAAGCTGTGCAGGTTCTGGAACTGACCCCGTCCATATTGCCTTGGGAAAGTTCACTAAGTAATCTTTTAATGTTATAACTGATTTCTGTTATATTGCAAGTTGATACCCCATCTTGAAGGTTTGTTTATTTGAGATATCGTTAGTTTTTACCTGTTAATTGAAATGCGTTCTGTTTGGTTTCTTGTGAATCATGTGAGTTTTGATATTCATGCAATGCACACAAGGTAACAAAATGACAGGTAAGGGCCAACAACTGACAAAGAACTAAGAGATTGACTAAATAACAACGTTTAACATCATATCTAAGGTCTTGAAGCAAGTGAAATTGTCTAATTAATTTTTCCATCAGAACGCAAATTCCTTAAACAGACAATTCAAATAACATTCAATCAGCTCAAGACTTCATCACGTCACGCCCAAACTGTCAAAAAATCACAACAATGCCATCTCAGAACGCGTTAACCCCACATGGTTAATTGCAAATGAGATTGAGCAAACAGGTATCACACACATCTCTGAGTTGGACATATTACAATATGTACATGTAACAGTAGGTATATACCCACATCACGTAATCTCCACAACACCCACTGCAGAAAAGGCCAAGAGTGTGAGACACTCTGACTTAGTTGCCCAGCAACTCTTGGTCCATAATATTCACAGTAAAACAGCTACAATTCCTATCAAATAGGAAAATTCTCATGTCACAAGTACTCCACACTCACTCATTAGACAGGTAATTATACAAAGAGCACACTACACATCAAAACAGTGTCAACTAAACAAAAAAAAAGGGGAGAGAGAATCTGTATAGCTAAAAGAATATCTGTGAAAAGCCATGTATGTATTAATTTTCAAATTGTGACAATGCTGGAAACATGTAAGTATGAAAAGCAACACAAACCCCAGGCTAGTGTGCCTCTCCCAAAACATCGGTCATGGTAAGGGATTTGATATCGGGCAGTGGACGGAACCACTAAATCTCGGATTTGGGAGAGAGGCTATGCTGGGGAGCCTGAAAGAAAGGAGTTAAAATGAACCCCTTCCAGGTCTGTTACACCCCACAAAGGATAAAATCACATCAGCAAGAACCAGAGTGACGCAGAAGTTGTAAGAAAGTTATGTTTATGTCTAAGGTTTACTTTAAGGACGACCAGTGTGGCAAAAAGCAGTTTATAAAAACCCATGAATGTGTGTATGATGTGTGAAATGATGGCCATCAAGCGATTGAGAGAGTGAATGGACAAGAGTGTTGTATGACTGGACAAATATTGAAACACTAAACACCTCACAAATAACAATACCTCCGCCACAGGGTCATTTAAGAGAATTTAGTTTTGCTAAGCTTAGCCTGTTTTTTAATAAAGTTGAACTCCCAAGTTGTTTTAAACCCTCAGATTAATAAAGGTTATAAGTATGCATGGTTAGGCCAGGGGCTATAGATTAATAAAGTTATTTCTCCAAGTTGCACTACCCTATAGGAATATAAGAGAGTTTTAAAAGGTTTACAATAGGACTATAAGAGACCAAGGCAAGCAGTATGCTGGATCATTGCAAGCCTTGGTAGTTTATAATGTACTGTTCTGATTGTTTGCACTGTTGTTTTTGTAATGTTTTCGTGACCTTCTTATACACTTAGGAGGGGGGAGATGTGGGAAGCATATCCCAAGGTGCAAGAGGAAGGGCACCGAAGGCAGGGGACATGCGCAGAGACAGACCCTCCTATTGGTCAGAAGTCACGTGGGATCAGGGTATAAAAGGGCACGCGTTGTTCAAATAAAGCCTCTTTGTTCACCATCTCACAGGGAGCGTACACGTTTAGTTTATTATATAAAGGCAGCGGCCACGTGGCACGCTACACCTTGCCAAATTTAGTTGCAGTTTTGCCTTGGCCTTCCTCACCCCATCCCTACACAGCAGCGTCCTCGTGCTCTTTCCAGGATATCTGTCCCTGCTTCCACTGCCTGTGCATTTGCTTCTTGCCCTTTAGTTTGACCAGCAGGTCTTGACTCAACCATGCCAGTCTCCTGCTTTCCTTGCCTGATTTCTTGCACCTGAGGATCACTAACTCTTGCGCTCTATGGAAGACTTGCTCAAAGATCTGCCAGCTCTTTTCTGCTCCCTTGTTCCTGAGGGCAGTTTCCCCAGCCAGGTCCTACTGACTATATCCTTGAACAGCTGGAAGTTTGCTTTCCTAAAGTTCAGGGTCCTGAGTTTACTCTTTACCTGACCCATATCCCTCGGGACTGCAAACTGCACCAATGCATGATCACTGCAACCCAGGCTGTCTCCAATCTCTGTCATCAGCTAGCTCACTTGCATTGGTAACCATCAGATCCAGTATCGCATCCCCTCTGTTAGGGCTGTCTATTACCTGGCTCAAGAAGTTATCCTCCATGCCATGCTACTTTACCAGCAGGGTGGTTGAAGTACCCCAGCAGAATGAGAGCCTGCAAGCATTATGCCTCCTGTAGCTAGAGCAAGAAGGCTTCGTCAATAGGCTCCCCTTGATCAGGCAGCCTGTAGTAGACACCAACCACTAGGTTACCTTTGTTGCCTCATTCTCTGATAGCTTTTGATCTGCTCATGGCTATTCTTTAGAGACAACTCTTCACACTCTATCCCTCTCTTAATGTAGAGGGCAACCCCTCTACCTCTCCTTCCTCTCCTGTCCCTTCTGAACAGCCTGTAGCCATAGTCGCACTACAGTCATGGGATTCATCCCACTAAGTTTCAGTAGTGGCAACTAGGTCATAGCTTTCTAGGAGCATGGTGGTTCCCAACTCCTCCTGCTTGTTGCCCATGCTGCGTGCATTGGCGTAGAGGCACTTCAAGTGGGATGTCAGCCATGTCACCTTCTTAGAGGAACATCCCTTAATTCTTTTGAGATATTTCCCTGGTGTTTCCCTCTTGTCTTCTATTACCTTAGGACCCCCTGGCTCATCTCCATAAGACTTCAAGTGTGCTCCAGTGTGGCCAGCACATTTCAGAGTCACCGGCATATAGCCCTTGCTGGTACTCTAACCTTGGCATGTCATTCCACAGCTTGCCAAGGGCAAGACTGATATTATCCCACTCCCCCATCACATCTAATTTAAAGCTTTATCAATGAGCCCCACTAGCTCCTGAGTGAAGACTTTCCTCCCCCTTTGAGAAAGGTGAATCCCATCCGATGCCTGAAAGCCTGGTGCTGTGTAAGCCATCCCATTGCCAAAATCCCTTAAATTTTGGTAGTGACACCAGCTGCGGAGGCATGTATTAATAGACTGGGCCCATCTGTTTCTTCCAATGTTGCTGCCTGCAACCAGAAGGACAGAGGAGAAAATAATCTGCATTCCAGAATCCCTTACTAACTGCCCCAAAGCCCTGAAGTTCCTTTTGTTCACCCTCAGACTACATATTGCACAGATTCAGGCTGCCCCATCTGAGGAGCAGCTCCCCACTCCCATTTACGGAGGCAACGTCTCCAGCCTACACTTTCTTTCCTGTGAAAATTAAAAATATACAGACTTTGTGATACTGTAGTGGTTTGACCCTGGCCAGATACCAGGTACCCACTAAAGCTGCTCTCTCACTCTCCCTCTGCAACTGGACAGAGGAGAGAGAAAAAAAACCAGCTAAGGATTCATGAGTAGAGATAAGAGCTGGGAGAGGTCAGTGACTGATTACCTTCACAGGCAAAACAGACTCAAAGTGGGGATAGTACTTAAATTTATTACTAACAGGATAAGAGCCAAAGAGTGAGAAATAAAAGTCTTAAAAACACCTTTCCCCCACCCCTTCTTCCATGTTCACCCTCCTCCCCCCTAGTGGTGCAGGGGGACAGGGAATGGGGGTTGTGGTAGGTTGTTGTTTCTGCCGCTGCTCAACGAGAGGAGTCCTGCCCCTGCTCCCGTGGGGTCCCTCCCATGGGAGACAGTCCTTGATGGACCTCTCCAGCGTGAGTCCATCCCTCAGGCAGCAGTTCTTCCCAAACTGCTGTCCCATGGGTCACTCCTCTATGGGGTGCAGTCCTTCACGAATGAGCTGTACCGGCATGGGTCCCCCATAGGGGCCACAAGTCCTACCCAGTGTGGGTTTCCCTTTCCACGGGTCGCAAGTCTCCAGCAGGACCCTGCTCCATCATGGGCCTCCCATGGGGTCACAGCCTCCTTCATGTATCCACCTGTTCCAGCATGGGTTCCTCCATGGGCTGCAGGGGGACAGCCTACTTCACCATGGTCTTCACCACAGGCCACAGGGGCCACAGCTCTGGCACCTGGAGCACTCCTCCCCCTCCTTCTACACTGACCTTGGTGTCTACCTTGTTATTCCCGTGTTCTCACTTTGCTCTTCCCTGGCTGGAATTTCTTCTGTGCAACAATCTTCTGTCCTTAAATATGTTATCACAGAGGCATTACTATTACTCCTAATTGGCTCTGTCTTGGCCAGCAGCAGGAAGTCCATCCTGGAGCCAGCTGGCATTGGCTCCACGGGGACAGGGGAAGTTTCTAGCAGCTTCTAACATAAGTCACCCCTGTAGGCCCCCCTGGCTACCAAAACCCAGCCACAGAAACCCACTACAGATACCTAACAGAAAAAACCCTGCCTCTTTTAAATTAGCAAATGCAGGTTTCCTTTCTGTAGGACAAATGCAGCCAGCCAAAGCATATGATTTACCAATAAAATAAAAGTACTGTTGCAGAAAAAGTGACATTAAGCTTCTGTTTCCAACAAAAAGCCTAGTGTCTCTAATTACCTGCATTTATTTGTGTCACTGCTGCATAAGTCACCCAAGAATTTAAAATATCAATATCCTTCGCCCTCTGTACACAACAGGATTGCCTCTGCAGTTTTTTGATCCTAGGGCAGGCGATGAGATGTAAGAAGGGTACATTTTTATTCCTCCCTCCTCTCAGTTTTCCTTCAGCTTGTTTCCCTGTTAGATCTGGAGTAAATTATAGATGCCTCTGAAAATATAGTCAATGCATTGAAATACAGTCTGTTCACCCAGACCTTACTTCTATGTTTGCTTCCTATGGGTGCATGTTGCTTCATTTATAGAATCATATAATCAAAGAATGTTAAGGATTGGAAGGGAGAAGTAGGAGGGAAGGGGGGAAAGGAAAAAAAAACTTGCAAAACCAAGGTTGCTGAGAAAGGTGGTTTTATATTTACACGGAGAAGAACAAGAGAACTATAAGCACTATACACACAGGGAAAACTAACAATAAAGACTACTTCCACACGAAAGGTGTTTTCCTCCTCTGAAAACAGCCATCTATCCCTCACAACTGTCCCGGAAGAGAAGAAGGAAGTTGTTTTTTTCTCGTCTCTTTATATCTGAGCTGACGTAACATGGTATGGAATAGCTTATTGGTAAAATATACATCAGGTGACCTATTCTAGTTCCGTTTCCCTCCTAGGGAGGGTTACAAACCCACTACAAAGGGACCTTAAAGATCGTCTAGTCCCAACCCCCGCTGCAATGGGCAGGGGCACCTCCCACTAAACCAGGTTGCTCAAGGCCTTATCCAACCTGGCCTTGAACACTGCCAGGGTTGGGACATCCACAACCTCCCTGGGCAACCTGTTCCAGTATCTCACCACCCTCATGGTAAAGAAGTTCTTCCTAATATCCAGCCTAAATTTCCCCTCTTTCAATTTGCACCTATTACTCCTTGTCCTGTCACTTCAGTTCCTGATGAATAGTTCCTCTCCGGTTTCCCTATAGACCCCCTTCAGATACTGGAAGGCTGTTATGAGGTCTCCATGCAACCTTCTCCAGGCTGAACAGCCCCAACTTTCTCAGCCTGTCTTCATAAGGGAGGTGCTCCAGTCCTCTTATCAACTTTGTGATCCTCCTCTGGACTCGCTCCAACAGTTCCATGTCCTCCTTCTTTTGGAGGCACCAGAACTGTATGCAGTACTCCCGGTGGGGTCTCACAAGAGTAGAGGGGGAGAATCACCTCCTTTGACCTGCTGGCCATGCTCCTTTTGACGGAGTTCAGGATTCAGTTGACTTTCTGGGCTGTGAGTGCACAATGCCAGCTCACGTTGAGTTTTTTGTCAGCCATCACCCCTGTATTAGGGAGGGGTTCGGGCCATGGTGAATCTGAAACCATGACACCATTGCAAGCTCAACAAAACTGAAATTTATTACCAAGAGGTGGCCAACAAAAACGAACAAACCCAAAAGGGAGGAAGGAGGAGAGAAATAAGCCCCCAGCACGACCTCCCCAGGCACCCAGCTGTTGCCCATAAAGTTATCTTACCAACCTAGCATGCCTATAATTACCAATAGCAGAAGCTGCATCCTTGGAGAGTCAGTAAGTTCACAAATTGGCAGGCGCCCCTGCCAAAAGGCAACGTTGTCCTTGATGTGAAGCTAGCTGTCCTCCAAGAAAGTACTATCTGCTTTTATACAAGTAACTGAGTGACCTCAACCTAGGCCGGCGTGGCCAGCACCACCCAGCCAGAGGCCCTCCGTCCCACCCCCTTGGTTATGTAAGTGCATCTCTTCTGCACACGCGTGGCTTTCCCTGTGCCTGCGTACTGCACTCAGGAGGGTCTTTTTTAGTTGAGTCTGGGGGCGTTACTTCATCATCTCCTCTTCAGTCTCTCCTTCAAATGTCCTTGGAGAACGATTAGCCAATCACAGAACACCAATTAAATATAGTTTATACAAAAACTCCCTTCAAGGACAAAGTTCCCGTTTTATCAGTGCTTGTTTTCTCATAACTTGGCAGGGAAAGAACAAAACTTTTACAGGTGGTTGGGCCAAACACAGACCAAAAGTATCAGCATAATTAACCCCTGATACATCCCACCGTGTGGTCTGTGGTTGGACCATGACACTGGTGAATGACTTGAACAGCATACTGATGAAGTGTCATCTTCAAAAATGTAAAACAACATAACAACTGAGTAACAGCAAAAGTACAGACAATAATATAATCATGCCCATCCCCAGTGAGGAGATCCAAGTGGGTTACAGTGGTCGTTTACTTGGAGTCAACAGTACTTGAGATAATCTTTTCCCGGTTGGCAGACCTAGTTTCCAAGTTTGGACAGATGAACAGGTGTGTCCAATCGTATGGGCCTGGACAACGCGATGAATCTTGGGAATTTCTGCAAAATATAAAGTCTAGTACTACAGAACTTCTCATTTCAGAATTTTTATAATTTGGATTCATCTTTTATAGTATGAAGTGGTTGACTGCCAGTCACACATTTATAGGCCTATTAGGAGCCATCACAGGCAATGTATATCTGGAGTTTGATGCAACACCAGACAACATCCTGGTCTCACCAACCACTCCTACAGAAAGCTTGCACTCTCTGTACAGATTACAGGCCTCATCGGGGCAAACCATCCTGTCCCAGTTTACCCCTGACTGCAGTCAATCCCCCTCCACCTCATGGAGTGATAGTACAGGTTATCTCTTGCCTCCATGCTATAAAAGAATTTTATCCATCTTCACATTAACTATACCATTGAGTGTGGATGTTACCGGTCCATCACAAGAAAATTGCAGGCATGATGCGAGCCAGAGTCCATAGGGAGGTCCACAAACATTAGTCCTTCATTTGCAGTCTTGCCAACCAGCTTTTCGACATAGGACTTTTCTTCTGCGAGGCCCAGCACCTCACACATTGTTATTTCACAATCACATATATTCTTGTGTAGACTCGTAAGCCAAAAGGTTTCTGTCATATGCTGATTCCAAATAATTCTTGCCACCTGCTGTAACACTACTGGGACAAAACACATACAAATATGAGCACTGCAAAACAATCAGTGTCTGATTTAGAATTCCCAAACCACACCGTTCTGTCTGATCTTCACAAACATCACTGGTGTGACATGAACAGCACAGAAACGGATCGCTCTATACAGCGATGACCATTAGGTCTTAGGATGTTACAAGTTCTATAGTTTTCCATTGTCTTCTTTCCCCCCTTAGTGACACGTCTGCCCCATCCCAGGTGACGAAACCAAGCACAATTGCAGTCACCCTGCACACGGCATCACATATTTCCTTCACATCCTGAAGCCAGGGTTTAGCTCTAGCCTTTACCTTTAGTACTGCTGCTAGAACAACTTGGTAGTACACAGTTCAGGAATAATATTCCAATTCTGACTGTTGCTTACCATAACAAAACATACAGAAGTTAAAACACATTGTTGGTGCAACTCATCTAAGAACAAGAGACCTTCTTATCTCTGGAATAGTAGATCCAAGGATCTGTCGGGACAAGAGACCTGCTATACAAAAAAGAATAACCAATCCATTTTGTTATTCAAGATCCACGGCCTGCACTGAATAGGCTAATGCAGAAGTAGTCATGGCTGTGGTAGCTGTATCCTCCCAGCCCCTGGCCAGGCTCACTGAGAACCACAAATGACAAATAAGGATCACCTGAAAGGCATTGTTCATTACACAAATCGCAACATCAAGTGTGGACAATAAGACACACAAGAGACACGTACATGATAACTGAGTCATTACACCAGTTAGTAAAAGTTAGTAGACACAATGAATCATATTTAGGGTATGTTTTCTTCCATGTGATATTTGGGTTGGTCTTGTGCTGCTCAACATTCACTGACCTCTGTCCAGAATTCTTGTCGCTCATGATAAGGTTTCATCAAACATGCTGGAAGCCAGCAGGGTCCTGTGGGAGACAAAACACAAACAAACTCCCCTTCCCAATACTAACAACTTAATATCTACTTGAGGTGTCATATTGCCCCTCCTCATTACAAAAGTATAGTTTTATCAATTTAAGGTTTTGTTCTGTTCTTGTTCTTTCTCTTCTCTCGTTTTTATTTTCTTTACCCTGGTTTTAAGTTATACTTTCAAGGAATCTGGCAGTGTTCTGGGTTCATGAGGATTCTCAAGAATCATAAATCTTGAGACACATTTCATTTTTCTGTTGGTGATCTCAGCTCACACGTGCCCACCGAGTGAATTAAATGGCCACCGCAGGAACTAAAATTGCCGTGGTTTATTAATTTCATGCCCACAACAGCTCTGTTGTATCTTTCTCAAAAGTTAGGTTTTTAGTTGAAACTCCCCTTTAAGCAGGAAAGAGTGGCTTTTGCCACCAGGTTGGCACCAGCCTCTTCAGCTGTGTGGTCCCTCCTTTTCTCCTTATCCTCCACAGCCCAAGGAATGCCCAAGGATGGACCCAAGCAATGGTCACACACGCAGACTTAACACCATCGCCACCATCCGAGGCATCCAACAGGATCATTTCCAAACTCTCGAGAACATAAACCCACAATGATTTTTAGGCTGGCAGTTTTAAAGTGGGCATTTCAGACCTGATCCTTGCACAGGGCTCTGGTCC